GGGTGCAACACCGAGGGTTGCGATCCCGGTGCCGGTCCGGGTCTGGTACGGGAGCGACACTGAGGGTTGCGATCCGTTGCCGGACACGGAAAAAGACAAAAAAAAAAAAAAAAAGAAAAGGTCTCTTTCTGTCTCATAGGAAGATGGCTCATCATGGCTTTTTTCCCCTGTGGAGAAACTCAGTTTCTCATCAGCTTTTAGTTGTCATGTATATCTCACTCTACCGTCAGCCTCTCACTTTCCTGCCATAAATTTCTAGCAGAGTCTGAGTGGGGGTTTGATGCTTTTTAAAAATGTGCAGCTAGGCATTATTTCATGGAAATGCATTGGGTTTTTGCAGTAGCATTTGGCAGGACATGTCTTTGGGGGTGATGAGCTGGGGAAAGATATGGAAAGTATTACAGTAGTTAGAAAGTACCTTGAGCCAATGAAATGTTGGATGTTTTTCCTCTCAGCATGCTTCTGAATGTCTTTGTGTCCAACCCAAATGAGATGGAAAATAGTCTAAGTGACATCTGTAAACAGAATAAATTAAAATGTCACCTGACGTTCAGTTGTGCATATTTATTGGGCCATTCCTCATTGGTTTTCTAGGCTCTAAGCCACTTCATCTATGGCTTAGCTCACTTGATGACAGAAGTCTGAGCTGCATGGTCACCTAACGTCATTCTGCACAGCCCCCTGTCTGGGGCCTGCCCCCCTGCCCTCATTCCAAGGGACAGGGCACATTTGCAAGGACCCTACTTTCTGGGTGGTAGGTCAAAGAGCAATGTGCTGAAAGGATAGATTAGCATTTTCCAAAATGTATTCCTGGGAGTACTAGTTGCTGGAGTTCTTCCTGAAAGGAAGTGTTTCATGGCTAAATAAATTTGAGAAAAGCTATATACGGTACCCTCCTATTTGCAGATTTGCAATGAATATTAGCATAATCAAGGCTCTGCAAATTTCTTAAAGTAATCTTTCAGTCCCCACACACATTTTTTTGTTTTTGCTTTTCTTGCATACCTATTGTCTATAGAACACTAGTTTTATGGAAATACTTAGAAAAACAGACTCTGCATATATGCAGTAAAGAATCCATGTGCCTTGTAAAAAAGACCAATAGGAATGGCTTTACTCTGTCTAGCAACTGAGTTGAGTGGCGTGTTTACTTTGATCCTACCGGGTGCCTGCCACGTTGTATTAGAGCCCATAGCTACCAAATAAGTACAACATGGCCCCTGTCCTCTTGTTGAGGGAGCAATAATTTCAGGGTTCACGAAGTCAGGAAGTGTCCTAAAAGGCAGAATTGTGAGCTCCACACTCAGAGACCAGCTACACAATTGAATTGTGTAAGAAACAGTTGATTATGATTATGCTCTGCTTTTTTTGTATGACACAAGCCATACAAAAAATACTGTCATATCAATCCTCCATATTCATCCTAGAAAAATTAGAAAATGAAGATAAGCAACAACAAAATTTATATCACCTGGATTCTCATCACCCAGATGTAACCACTGTTGCTTTTCTGATATGTATCCTTCTAGATGTTAAAGTGTGTGTGAGTAATTTTCTTTTAAGAAAAAAGATTCTTTATATGTGTCAGTAATTACTTATAAAAACCTGAACAAGTGCAGCTTAAGTGCATGTTGCCAGTTCCTTACAGGACTTGATTGGCATGAAACCTGGTGTTAATCCTCCTTTTACTGGAAGTAGGAAGTTAGTTCTTACTTGCCTACGGTGAGTTCTTTCTTCCCAGCCAGTGGCAAGTGGGGGGTGGGGGGAGGTGACAGGTTGTATGGGCTCCCTAGTGGTTTGAACTTGTGGCCAGCTGACCTGAGGCCTGAGAGCACAGAGCTAGGTTCAGGACTGGGCTGCTTAGCAGATAATACAAAAACTGTACCAACTGCGGGTCACTCGGAGCAGCAACCTGAGTTACAGTGATCCTGGTCACTGCAGGCCTCCCCAGAACACAGAGGACCACAGATGCTGGCTTTTCTTTGGCAACAGTGGCTTTCAGTCTTGGCTGCCCTTGAAAATCAATTGATAGCCCAGGCCTCAGCCCAGACATCAGTCTCAGGTTGGGCCCCAGCATCAGTATTTCCTAAGAGCTCCCCAGGCTTTGTGATGTGCTGCTTGGGGGCTGAGAAGTGCAGCCTTAGGAGGTCTGGCCCTTTGGACCCTCTGCACTTTGGGGAAGTGTGAATGGGTAACCAGGCCATGGAAACTGTATAACTCTGTGCCTTTAGTAAGTCTGCTTGCCGGTACAAAAAATGTATTTCTGCAATCAGCTCACAGGGTCTGTTGGCCGCAGTGTGTAGTATCCAGGTGGGGACTTAACGAGAGTGTAGTATGGAAGGCTGGGTGGCCCAGAATGGGGCTTCTACCCGGGAAGGACGCCCAGTCTTGAAAACAGCCTGACTCATTACTTACATAACCTTCACTACTTAAGAGTATCAAATGAGGTGTTATTTGTGTTGTCTTGGCCAGTATCCTTCCAGATCAGCTCTTCTTAACTTTGGTCATTCACTGGTATCACCTGGGGAGCTTTCAAAGCACCAGTGTCCAGGGCCTACCTCCCAGGGATGCAGATTTAAGTGGTCAGAGGTGTGGCCTGAACTCTTAAGAGCTCCCAGTGACTTGCAGCCAAGGTTGAGTTCCAGACTTTTTAAATGAGATTTCAATGTAACTAGCCAACTATACAGCTTAATCAGTGACCGGACCATGCAGGGCAGGGCAGGAGCAGATGCAGGTGATCTCCAGTGGGACACACAGCTGGTACTGATGGCCCTGGCTGGGGTCCAGCTGGAGCTGAGCAAACAGCAAAGTTTATGTCAAGGCATTTCCTGTCTCGCCCCTTTTTGAAAATTTAAACTTAACCAGGTACTATTCTGGAAGAGCCCACCCTAACCATTTGTGCGCTTTTACTTAAAGAAATGTTTACAACACGCAGCTCTCCTGTTTCTCTCTCCCACCTCATCACACCCCTCTGGGCCTCACTCACCAGCCTCTAAACACACTGGTCTTTCAGCTCCTAGAATAGCCAAGCTCTTGGCCCCTCCATGATTTTGCATGTGCCGTGCTCTATCTCCATGGAATGTTCTCGTCCCTCCTTACCTCATTCTTCCAAGCTTGATTTTTATGTTTCTCAGAGAGGCCTTCTCTGCCCGCCCTAATTAAAATAGCCTTCTCCAGCCGACATTATTCTCTGTTGCACAATGGGCTTATTTCCTGATGACATCACAATGTATAATGACTCTTTTGTTGCTTAGTTATTTATTGTCTACTCCATTAGACTGTGAGCCTCATGAAAGTGAGACTGTGTCCTGTTTGATTACTGTTGCACCCCAGGTTCTAGCACAGTACTTAATCTATAACTTGGATTTAATACATTTTTGTCAAATTGATGTGTTAAGCAAACAGGGTGTTGATGTTAAACTGTATAAATGCTATTGCAGTCCAGGCATAGGTTGTAATGAACAAATGAGCCACTAGGTGGTGCCAAGACCTCATGAGTAAACAGCTCTCTCTGGACAAAACCTCACAGCTAAGATACAATTCAGCTGTGTACGTCGTAGGACGCGTGTTATGAGGTCACAGGTCAATCAACATTCCTCCCCCCGCCCCAATTGGGGCAGATCAAAATCCTAGCTTGGAAAAGCTCCTTGGTTTTTAAAGAGGTGCCTAGAGAAGAAACACGTTAAAAGTTCTTATCTAAAGAATGAATCCCATCCACATTATCCCCAGAAAGTCTGCCCCCTCCATCCTGGGCTGAATGCCTCCGATGACGGGGAGCCCATCACTGCACCAGGAGATGCCATCTCCACCTTGGCAGCCCACGGATGGGCGAGATGCCCCTTCAGTTTCATCTTAATCCTGTCTCCCTTCATTCTATGGCGCTAGCACTGAGAACCACCCCTTTATTTTTATGAAGTCAGTTATTAATCTCTTTGCTTTCTGTCCTCCAGGCTAAACAAACCTCATTTCTTTAGCCTTCCTTCTCTTGTTTCCAACATCTCACAGAGGACCTTAGATTAGTTTTTGGACAAGAGAGAATGTGTTCTCAGAACAACACTGCACAGCTGCAGGAGCCTCAGGCAGGGACTGCTGGCTTCAGGGAGAGCCTTGAGTGTTCTGGGTCCTTGGGTCGCTGTGGGTCCTCTCTGAAGTCTCCGGCTTCCTCCTGTCTCTGCTGGGTTTAGCCACTGCTGCTTCAGGGCATGTGTTAGTTTGGTTTTTCTTATATGCAGGTGGTTTATTTTAAGCAGTGACCTAAGGGAATAGGAGTGTGGAGGCTGGGAAGAGTCAACCAGGAAGGAGTGAAGGCCAGCCCACGTATGCATTATGAGCTGGTTGCCAGCAGGGGCAATTGGGGCTCCATCCCACTGGGGACACTAAGAACTGAGTGCACCTCCGCATTGCCTGCATGAGGCCCAGAAGAAGGAGACCTTTATTTACCACCTCCGATTTCTACTGGTCAGGCGTCGTCCTAGGGAGTATTCGTGTCCCGGCACTGCCAATTCTGCGCAGGTGCTGGAACGGCTGGGCCTGCTCCGTGAGCATCCCCTGGAAGGCAGCCGGGAGCCTCGAGGGCAGGAGACTAGAGCGGCGGCTCAGGCAACGTGCGGTTGGTCCACACCTGTTCCCAGCAGGCTGCTGCAGCAAGGGCAGAGCAAAAAATGGGCCAAGAGCATGTGGGACCGGACAAAAGCTGTCCAGCACAGGGCCCTCGGGAGCCAGGGTGACATTTCCTGCTGCCGCTCTTGCAGAGCCTGGCGCGCGTGCACGTTCGCGCTTGTATGCAGCGGGTGGGGTTGGGGACGGGGGTGCCCGATGAGCACGCTGGAGCCAGCGCCACAAGTTGGGGTGCAGAGGCCAGGGTCGACCTTGCTAAAGCACAGGGCACACTTGTTAGGAAACAAGCCCACTGTTGTCTAGGGAGAAAACGGCCAAGTGGGGATGGTGCACTGGCTCTGGGGCTGCTCTAGGGTCCCACTTGCCCAGCCCGCTGGCAGCTTCCCTGCTGCTCCCCTGCTGCACCTCGCTTTCGGTTCCCTCTCGGCTTCCCCCATGTCTGCGGCTTAGCTCATCTGTTTTTCAGTGACATGGGGGATGTCGGAGAAGAGTCTGGCTGCTTCAGGTGAGATTCTAGGACTAGCAGCATCGGCAACAATAAAAATGCAGAATCCCAGGCCCATCCCAGACCTGGGATAGAATCTGCATTTGAAAAAGATGGCGAGGTGATTCGCAGACACAGGAGAGGCTCGGGAGCAGTGGACCGAGTCGGTGGTTTCCAAAGCTGCTTATCTTCAGAGCACCTGCCCAGCATGCTAAGGACGCATGGCTATGCCTCAGCCCAGAGATTCCAGCTCTCCTGGGTCTGCGGTGCTGCTCCGAAATCTTCAGCGTCTAGTAAGCTCCTTATGTGATTTCATAGGATCATGTCTGAGAATCACCAGGACAGGTCATCTTTGGGGTTTTTCCCACTTCTGAGATTTTGATATGTTTGCCATTGACATTTCACAAATTTGAATGTCACTTGTTTGGGGTGTTACGAATCGGAGC